TATGGGGACCTGATATGTTTAATATGCTGCTGAGAATATAGCCCAGAAGAAGCGTATAGTATAGCTTTTATTTTGGTAAGAGCCATTTCTCTGTAATAAACTCTCTTTTCCAAAGATGAGTGATTCCTCAATCAGATATATATATTGTTTTTATTACTTTGTTGTTTCAGCAACATTAAATTTAAAAACTGTACTTTTGAGTTAAAATATATATTTATAATTTTAATAAATGACAAATTAAAAAGGCATGAAAATTTTTTTTGTATCGAAAAAATATCGAACCGTGACACCAAAGTATCGAACCGAACCGAACCGTGAATTTAGTGTATTGTTGCACCCCTAATACTTTAGTAGTCATTTATCTCTATATCACTTTTATTCTACCGACTCTACATTCGTAAGAACTTTCTACTGTATATTTTATTATAATATGACTGAGTTTAAGTTAGCTAAAAATAACTCCAAAGAGATACTTTTTGTTTTATACTTGGATTATATATGAGAGGTAAGGAAGCACTTCTTCAACTTTTGCATCAGTATTTTGTAAATAAAAGATCTGTACTTATTCTTACATTACCAGTGTGTGTACTTTTTCCACCTTTGGTTGTAACATTGTAACACAACAGTAACATACTTAAAATGTGCTTATTGATGATGTCAATTTAATTTTACTGCACTTCATTTGATCTTTTGTATACATAAAGTCACAGTAATTAAAGTTGAAAACACAACAAAAACAATTAGCGAGTGAAAGAATTACATAATGACTGTGCCATAAATAAAACAAAATAAAAAGGTGAACCTCAATGAAGCAATGATTAACATAACAAAAACAAAATTAAGTACATAAGCTGCTGGTAATTGTTCAACAATAACATTAGATATCCAAAATTATATTGATACAGTTTCTCTTTATTTTTTTTTTACTGTGCCTTATTTAACATTCAAAGTCTTCTGTAAACAAGTTAGAAAACTGGCTTATAGTAGCAGGGCAAGAAGTAGCTGTTCGGCAGCACACGGTACAGCCTCCCGCTCCACATGGCATACTCAAACATTTGTGGTCCACTGTAGAGGTAGGTGTACCCTGCAGAACAGAGATGCTACATGTTAGTGCTGCATAACAGACCAGAGGTATTTTTAAACATGTTAAAATAGCAATCATTCATTACATGTAAACTCAAAAGATAAAAACAGAAATATCAAAAACAGATATCATTGTCTCGTTTCAGTGGTCTTCAAGCCTGAATTGCTGCTCACCTCCTTGCTGCAGAGCTGCAGTCACTTTGGAGGTCATTCC